GGGATCTTCATTTGTAATCACTGGAGAAGAAATTAAAAGCACGATTTTTTTAGATAAACAAAAAAAAAAGACCGTTTTACTCAAATTCTCGAATAATCGCAAATATATACAGTACATAATGTATAATCAACTACAGGTCGGAGGTTTAAATGCAACAAAAAATGAACCAATTCCATGAATATTTGCATGTTAATTAAAAAAATCAAAAATCAATACAGTGCTGTAGAATATTGATAAGGTATCATGAAAGAAAATATCACAATATTTCAGTGTACCAATATTTTCTTGCACTCCCTAATGGTATGTACATACAATATATGTGTCAAACTTAAGGCCAGCGTCATCCTGTGTGGCCCACGGGAGCTTAAAAAGTCTTTAATTGTCTTATAACAAAGTCCATGCTGCAGAGTTTGTTTACTTGATTTTTTTTTATTACACAGATTGTATTAATATGTTATGGAGTAGTTATGGCTATATAGTCTTACAGTTAAAACCAGCCCTTTGAGGGGAACTGTATTGCTGATGTGGCCCCCGGTGAAAATGAGTTCGACATCCCTGATGGAAATGGCCCGTATATGAAAGTCAACACCACAACTGGATCCAGTTTTTCTCTAGATGTCACTTACACACTCCAAAGAGGACGGACGCAGGAAATCCTCTGGTACATATTTCTAAAGGGTTGTCGATCAAGTTGTAGTTGCTAATTGAACAGTTTGTCCATCATGCAGAAGCCTACCTATGAGGGCTAGCCTATGTGGAAGTGACACAGATTTTCCCATACTAATGTAACTGAAAGCTAACATGGCATGCCTCTGTAGTCATAAAGTTGGTGGTTTACAGCACACTTTGGTGAAGAAAATATAAATAAAACTGTATAAATTTCACAATGTATTTCATGATACTGTAGAGAAAACAGAACTTTGTACATGTTTGCCATGTAGTGATGTGTCGTTCGCGAGTGATTCGTTCACATTGAACGAATATGACTGAATGCTGATGTGGCCCCTCGTGACTCATGTAGTGATTGAAAGATTCGTGACTCGTGACTCCCGAGTCATATGAAAGATTTGTTCATATTGAACCCACGAATTCACTCACTGTGAACTAATCTTTCACTACGAACAAATCACTCTCTGCGAACTAATCTTTCACTGCGCACTAATCTTTTACTGTGAACTAATCTTTCACTACGAACTAATCGTATCACTCTCTGTGAACTAATCTTTCGCTCTGAACTAATCTTTCACTATGAACGAATCAC